ATAGTGCTGTAGGTCCATCAACCAACGTTCGATCCTGGCTGACGGGTTTGACACCGGGTTGTTGAACAGGGAGACCAACGGTTGATGGTCAGTGACGATCTTAAACTCCTTTCCATAGCGGTATAGGTGAAACCTCTTGATCGACCAGTATATTGATAGTGCTTCTCGATCTATCTGCGGATAACGCGATTCTGTCTCCGATAGTGGATGACTGGCGTAATGTAGCGGATTTGTCTCATCGGTTTTCTGATTCGTCTGGGTTAAGACTGAACCTAGTCCTACTGGGCTACCGTCCGCAAACAACGTAGTGGGTTTCTCTGGGTCAAAGTAGCTTAGCGTGGTCTTTTCAGACAATGCAGCTTGTAGCTTTTCTAGCGCGGATTGTTCTTCCTTTCCCCAGGTCCAGGGAACGTCCTTGCATGTCAGACGACGTACCGGTTTCGTTATGATCGCAAAGTCTTTGATGAATCGCGAGCAGAATGAAGCGGAACTCAACAGACTCTTGACTTCAGTTACACTAGTCGGTGGCGTGATTGCTTTCAAGTCTGCGACCTTCTTTGGGTCCGGTGACATTCCTTTAGCGCTGAATTGATGTCCAAAGAACAACATTGTCGGAACACGGAATTCACATTTGGGAACATTGATTGTCAGATTCGACTCGGTCAGACGTTGTAGCACACGTTTCAGACGCGTATCGTGTTGCTCGGTGTCAACACTTCCAACGTAGATGTCGTGACTAATGTTACTAACGCCCGGAATTCCCTTGGTCACGTCACTAACGATGTTTTGAAATATCTCGACAAAGCATGACATCCCGAAGTTGAGACGCTTGTAACGCCACAACCCTACATGTGTTGAGAACGTGGTCAGGTTTCGGGAGTCAGGGTGTAAGAGAACCTGATGGTAACCATGCTTCAGATCTAACTTGCTGAACACTTTGCAGCCATTTAAGTCTGCAGCGATATCGTCGATGGTCGGTATGATGTGACGTTCGCGGATGATCGCACGATTCACAGAACGCATGTCTACACATATCCTGATTTCGTCAGGTTTCTTTGGTTTTGGAACAACCACTATCGGGGAAATCCAAGGTGTTGGTCCTTCTGAACGCTCAATGATATCAGATTCCTCGAGTTCATTCAACTTTCCCTCGACGCGTTGACGGACATGAAATAGAATGCGACGGTGTGGTTGGGCTACTGGAACGACGCTGGGGTCTACATGGACTTTAACCGGTTCACCCTTATAGGCACCCATTCCACTCGTGATGCAGGACAGTCACACAGAAACTCAGGCGCATTCGGTTGCTCAGAAATCGCATTCGCGACTTTGATCAGACGTAGCTTTTGCGAGGTTTTCCAACTTAGAAGCAATCCACTAGGTCCAGAGACAACGTAAAATGTCTCCTTAGATGTACATTGGTCACTGCGTACCTCAGCCTCGAATTTTCCTTGAAGCACGAGCGGTTTGTCGGACATGTACGGAAATATCTGAGATTTCGATGGTGCGAGTTGCGGCCGATGGTGGAGATGAAGGTAATCCTCCTGATTGAGAATGTTCACAGTCGCTCCTGAATCGGCCATAACCATGGTCTTGGTGTTGCCAATCATGACGTTGAACACGGGTTTTTCCTTAATGCTTGATCCGGATCCCGATTCGCCTAATCGGAAGATGTATTCGTCATCGTCGGTAGCGTTGACGTAGTCCGAGGCCAGTGGTCGGTGATCGTGCTCCGTGATGTCCTTTAAGGCTCTGGCATTATGCTTTCGGTTGAAACCATGCCTTCCTTTCCAGGGTTGATAATCCCGATTCAGTTCGAATCTCGATGATCGTGCACCCAGGTTTTGAGCGCTGCGGCACACTTTAGCAAAGTGATTTACACGACCGCATTTTCTACATTCCTTCCCTTTCGCAGGACAGTTTCCTCTGTGTGGGTATGGTCCACCACACAAACCACAAGCGGTGTTGTCACGATTATGACTGCTCAAATTATGGAGCGATTGCAGTTGTTTGCCTTTTGCCCTACTGTTTAATGCATGTGATTGCTAGGTGGAACACTGTCTTTCTATGATGACGGTGTGCTCGTCTGCCATTTCTACTGATCGGGCAGTTTTACGCAGATTGTCCAAGGTCAGTGTCTGCTCGATCACTTTCCTGCAGAGGCGATTGTTGTGCGTACCTTGTATCAACTGGCGCTTGATTCCTAGGTTAGCATCAGCAAAGTCACAACGTTTTGATTGGATGACAAGCCTGGTATGAAACTCACCAACAGTCTCAGTGCTCAGCTGCTTTAAGTATCGAAGCGGAAAGGACAATCCAGCAGATTACCTGTCAAGACACACGCCTAGCGTCACTGAGTGCTCTAGGAGAGAGGAGAGGGTTATGGAGGAGTACATCAACCACATTGCTGCTACCTCTGCACCCAAAGCAATGACCCTGACTGAACTCCACAACTGCACCGAACGCGATGCGACCCTGCAAGCTGTCATTCACGCCATTCGTTTTGGCAAATGGGAGATCGAGAGACAACGACCCGGTGTTAACACGGCATTATTCGATCGAATTCACAAAGTTCGAGGGGAACTGTCCGTGACCGAATCCGGCAACTTGATTCTACGTGGCGCACGAATTGTTTTACCACATGAACTGCAACAACGCGCTGTCGAGCTGGCACACGTTGGTCATCAAGGCATGGTCAAGACGAAGGCACTCATACGTGAGAAAGTGTGGTTCAGCGGTATAGACCATCGAGTAGAGGAAATGATTCGTAGTTGCATGGCATGCCAAGTAGCGACGCCAACATAAACACGGGAACCCCTAAAAATGTCGGCACTGCCTGAACGTCCATGGTCAGAGATCAGCACTGATTTTGAACAGGTACCTGGCATGGGTACGCACTTTATGGTAATCTCCGACTTCTCACGCTACGTCGTCGTGAAACCAGTGTCCTCTCTCACAGCAAATGCTGTCATCCCTGTCCTTGACAAGATCATTGGAGAATTCGGTGTACCCGATGTGGTCAAGTCGGATAACGGACCCTCCTTCAACAGCAGCACATTCTCTGACTACGCACGGCACAAAGGCTTCACGCATCGTAAGATTACTCCCCTGTGGCCGCTCGCAAACGCCGAGGCAGAACGCTTTATGAAGACGGTAAAGAAGTCTATTAAAGCTGCCATAGCGGAAAGGAAAACCTGGAACCAGGAGCTGCACAGCTTTCTGCTTAACTATCGAGCAACCCCTCACAGCAGCACTGGCATACCTCCAGCTACGCTGATGTTCGGGAGGGCCATCAAAACAACCCTTCCCCGGATCGCGTACGAGCAACCGCAGCACGACGTCCGCCAGAAGGACAGCGAGTCCAAAGCAAGGATGAAGGTGTATGCGGATCGCAAGGCATACGTCAGAGAATCTCGTATAAAAATTGGTGAACCTGTGCTCATGAAGAGAGAGGGAATGAGGAAGTCTGAACCCCCGTTTGATCCGAAACCCCTCATCGTTACGAAGAGAAATGGATCGATGGTGACGGCTGAATGTCATGGAAAGACAGTCACCAGAAACTCGTCCCGTTTCAAACGCTCCGCCACACGTCCAGAAGACGTCCCGACGTCGTCTGATGAGGAGGAGGAAGAGCTGGGTCTGCACCAATACCCCGGACCAGACGAACCGCCGCCGAACACTGTGGTCCAGCACGCTCCAAGGCTACTCGAGGTGCAAGGTAGACCGCAGCGAGAGCGTCGGCTTCCGGAGAGGTTTAAGGACTTCGTCATGGCGTAGACATTTCGTTGGGGAGGAATGTGATGTCCAGCCCTATTGTTTACGTTTGGTATCGGTGATGACTCTATGTGTGCAATGTGACGCATGCGCGAGCGGACATCCGGGATAAGAAAAGAAAGGAGCAGCGGGAATGATTAGACAGAAACGAGGTGTTACAATCTTTGTAGTTCAATTATGGTTTGATATCATCGATCAACAAACAATAAGAACATTACAGCAGTATTCATGATAACTTGGCGCAATTTCATAACAGTGCTGTATATCCAGAAGCTTTTACTACAAGGATCATAGAATCGTTAGAACCGTTTTTGTCTGAATATTGATACTCTGTCTGAATTTGTCCCTGTCTGAATACCCTGTCTAACTTTGTCTGAATATTGATATTCTCCACCTTTTGCACGGGTATTGCTCTATAGTGAAGATTAAACGTTTATTGGCGAATGAATCAAATCAATCACTTGTTTTATTTATAGAGGAGATATATTTCTATGCTCAAGCCAAAGAAATTTATGAAATTTCCAGCACCTAATTATGTTACCAAACAAATTTTGAATTTTTATGTAAAAATGGTATTTTGGATATTTCTCAACTACCAGAAAGAGTGAGGATACAAAATTTTTGCCACATGTTAAGCACAATATGGACCAAAATAGTGCGTCAGGATTCTTTAATTTTTATATTTACCGAGAAAACTGGAAAAAACTGCTTAAAATCAAGTTGTGTGTTAGAATTGAAGATTTTAGCGAATAAAGAGGCATAACTAATAAAATACGGCACTTAATAACAATCCCTGACGCACTTCTTTACCACAATATGTTACCATTAAAACGAGTGAAAAATTAAATTAATCCGAGTTGTAATCACAAAGAAATATCCATTTATACATCGGATACTATGTCAGAAATCGAAACGGAGAAATCACAAAGTTGTAATCACAAAGTTGTAATCACAAAGTTGTAATCACAAGTTGTAATCACAAGTTGTAATCACAAAGTTGTAATCACAAAGAAATATCCATTTATACATCGGATACTATGTCAGAAATCGAAACGGAGAAATCACAAAGTTGTAATCACAAAGTTGTAATCACAAAGTTGTATCCATTTATACATCGGATACTATGTCAGAAATCGAAACGG